AAATATCAGGATTCTTGAAAACAGGAAAATTAGGAAAAAATCAGAGAACTTTGTTTTCTGGAAAGATAAACTTCTGAATTTTAAAAAAGTTTGATATTAATAGTACCAATTTAACAATTAAATGCAAGCAGTATTAGTAATATTAATAGTAATTTACGTTGCTATGTTAAATTGCTCCATCAACAAAATATTTAACGATTTCCAAATCACAGAATGAAGATACAACAATTTTTTAATTTTATTGAAAAAATCATAAAAATTTATCTAGAAGTTAGGGAATAGTCATGGAATTTTAGGACGAAGAATTTGTGAAAATATTTTCCTGTTTGATTGGGAGAATAATTATTAATAATTAATTTTATTAATAATGTTCGTGCTCGCGGTTGCTTGTAATTAAGTTTTATAAGCTTCAATTTTCAATAGATAATTAGTAAGAGATTGATAATTAGATATCACGTAATATTAACTCTTGATACACATTTAGATCATTTCTTCGTATCTTGGGCATTTCTTTTCTTTAAAATACTAAGAGCACCTGCTGCCCTATTCTGTAACTCTTATCGACAGAATCGATATCGTTATAATGTTGTTGCACAGATATTTTATATAATAAAAAAATTGCGCAACGACAATATAACTATACCAAACTGTCATTAAAAGTTACAGACTAGATTTACTAGGCTCTTATTCTTAAAAAGAAACGTATACGAATAACTAGGGAAATACTATAATAAACGTTACATATAATATAATATTTCCCTAGTTATTCGTATATGTTTCTTTTTAAGAATAGGGGCTCTAGTCAAATATCAGTTTCTTTTTTATTCTTAAAAAAAAATTGGCATCTAGAGAACAAATTTTGTGCGTTGCTGGCCTTCGTGTGTATTTAACTAGAATAACTCCGAAGTTTACCTTTGGATCACAGATGACTTATCGTATGTACAGAGTGTATATTTTTTGTAACTAAAAAAATTTTTATTTTATTTTATTTTTTTTTTATTTTAAACTAATTCTCGTTTGTATTGCTGGAATAATTCGTGAATCATTAAAAAAAGAATTTAATCCTAGAACAATATTTAATATACTTACACGATACTTAATACGATAGTTTTTGATACTCTTGTGTTAAATCTATCTATAGTACATATTGTGTTGTTTGTAATGTTATAAAAATATTTTCCTAATAAATTATAAGTTTTTTTAATACAATAGCAATAATAAAATGCATTGTTTAAAATGTATATAAATGCAATATAATCTTCAATTTATAGTCATTCATGCATATTAAAAAAACATCATTTTCTGATTATTAAATAATTAAATTTTTTGGATAGTCGATACTTGAACTATTTTTTCTTTTGTAATTTGGAATGCCAACTTTAAGATATTGAAACATATTTTTCCTTTAAACATCTTTGTTTCAGAGTTTTACATTTTTGTATGAAAAAGTGCAATTTTATTATTTTGTTAACTATATTTATAGTTGTAATAATTTATATATAATTTGTTATAAATATCAACTTCACAAATACTTTCTAAAGATATCAAAATATACATAAAAATTGCTTAATAATTTTTATATACTTGTAAAAGTGATGAAAATTAATTTAGGACGTGAGACCTACTTCTAATATGACATTAATACAGACGAATTGTTCGAAGAAAAATTTATCTCGCAACATTACATTGATGTGACATGAACGAATCCAGAGAAAAATTTGTTGCAATGTGTATTGAATTCTACTTGACTGCATTATGCATACGAACGTTAAAGTCATAGGAAATCGTTAGTAGAATAAAATAAAAATCACATCTGATTTATTCAAATTACAGCGGACGGAATTTTATTTTCAATATTTTCATGCGTATATTTTATTATTTG